GCTTCACGTACTTTGCACAACTAGACATTCAGTCGATCCTGCTGCCATTTTAATCCCAATTATTTGTCCTACACAGCATTTATTTGTTGTTGTGGAACATAATATTGAGTAGTCTGCACTATTTGCAATGCCTTTTGTAAGTAAGCTACAACGGTTGATGCCTATTTTACTCCCATTTCTATGCTTCAACACTAATGAACACACCATGAAGATCTTGGGAGCTGCGTATCTTCCAGTCTCTGATGGTGATAACTATGGAAATGCAATAAATGTAAAAATATACTCTAACGGTTAGTCAAACTGATGCCTAGTACATTCATCTTTAACAGGACTCCACTCATTTAAATATTCAAAATTCAGACTTGTTTGAGATCTACTTCATAAAATAGTAAACAGCGTCGATTTTAAATTGTATTTCTGTCCTTAAAATTGCCTCATTATTTGCACTAATAAAGTAAAATAGCATGCCTATAGGACAATAACTGTCTTACTTGTAAGGAAATACAGCATTTCCTACTCAAATTGATTACTGCTGGTCATTTTTTACCACGCCAGCATTGAATTAAATTTCATGAAATGGGAGGGTTTGCCGCAAGTTCAGATTTAAGACAAATGTGGAATGTGTGTGTTAGTCCGATAGCTGTACTTTACACTCTCGAAGAGTGTCACTGAAATAGGCAGCGTGTAATTTTGAATTAATGAGGCATTTGGACAAAATTTAAAGAAACAGCAAGTTCTGTGGGATAAAACAGAATTAGACCTGTTGGGAGTAGTCCACTGTATTTCACTACTTGTTATTATAAAGCCAGGTGAATCAGTTACTTAATATGTTCATAGGCACGACTTTGGATTCATTGACTTTTGTGCTTCAATTTACTCAGGAATGCCTTTATGGAGTGAGGACGCATGATCGCCATTGCAACAACTTCCTGATTTAACTATTTTAGAGTAGGTCATTGGGAGTTTGTTATTACTTTAGAAATCCAAGAATCGAAGTTAAACTTCCTTAATTGAATGTTAGGCATTATAGCTCATGAAGAGCAAATCTAAGTAAGAAACTTGATGAACAAGTTGGTATTATGCACAAATTACCATATTTGTAGTGATTCATCAATTTGATGATGGCTTTGGCCATTGGCTTGAGGATTTCTTTTACCTCAAATTTTGCTTTTTAATCTGACAAGCAAACAAGCAAAAGGAATACAGGAAATTGGTATTCTACATTAGGAAGCCGCTTTAGAAGGCAAAAACCATCCTCCTACAGTTAATCTTTCAAATAACCTTCAAACTTCATTGGAGGAGCCTTATTTGACCCCTAGTATCGCCGCTCGAAGAGGAACAATGGTTGATTTCGAGCAAGTAAACATTCAGACT